ATTTTTCGTTCCCCCCTCTGCATACGGGTTGTTGGGCGTCGTTGGCCTCACCCCTGGTTTGGATCCTTGTTCCTTCAGGTCCGTTCGGTTCCGTCCTCTCGGTGGGTACTTTTCTCCGTTTCTACCCCCTTTTCTCTGGGACGGGACTTCTCCGTCATGGAGGAGTCATGTTCCCCTATTATTGGGGTTTTCTGCGTGACTTTTGGTCTCGGGTGCGACTGTGCCTTTCTGAGCCTTTGTAACATTGTTTGCTTCTGTGAGATCTCGGGGATTCGGGAAAGTCTTTGATTCTTCCCACATTATTGGAACGTCTGTCGTCTTCCGGTGAGGCTTTCCTCTGGTCCTTTTAGGACTCGTTGGTCCTCTTCCGTGCTTCTTGGTTTTCGATACTGTCTCGTTCTTTTGTCGTTACTGTATATCTTCTCTCAGTGCTCTGTCTAGGCACTGCTATTATTTTGCAATACCCCTTGTTGACGCCTTCCCCGCTGGGCAGGGTAGTGCGGTTCGGACCTTGTGCGACTTGCGCATGCGCCGTGGGAGTTTTTGTTGTGGACGGTGTACACAAGTGCTGGTGTTCCGCGTCCTTGTTCTCTCGAGTGCTTCACCTCTCTCGCTCCTCTCGTCTCTCCAGTCCCCCAATGCTGGGGGTGTTCTGGATTGCCGCTATGGGGAATAGGCTGGGTTTTCCCTGCATATGGGTGTGGGGCGCCTCCTTCGCCTCTACCCTACTCTTCTCCTGCAGGTGCGGCTCTGGCCTTCTTCCTCTGGCGGTGCTCCCGGACTCCTCTCGGCTACGTTGTGTCATGACACGTTCGTGCCTATGTTCTGCAGGTGAGTTTATGCGGTCTGGCGTCTCTTTCGGCCAGGCGCTGGTTCGTGGCTACGAATTTACGAACATAAGAACAAAGGTGACTGCAGAGGGCCTATTGGCCCATACGAGGCAGTTCCTATTTATACCCATCTGGTCCCACTCATATACATGTTCATCACATGCTTGAGTCAATCAAGGGGCCCCACCTTTGCCATGTTACGAGGTAAAATGGTGGAGATAAATGTTATGGGGTAAATGTTACACTGGGTCAGGATGTTATGAGGTGACATTTTGCTGTGGCTTGATACTGGGGATCCATGTTGGGGTTTGGTTGTGGCGTTTTGTTTGGCCCTGGCATGCTTCTTCCTGGGGCCTTCCTTGTTCGTCTGTGTTGTTTATTACACGGTGGGTCACGGCCCCGTTTTTTGTGGTCTTATCTGGGTCACTCTTTCCTTCCCCATCTTGCAGTGCCCATCCATATACATTGGATTCTCTGTGCTCACCTAGTTGTCCTTCCTTAGCTGTGCTTGCAATGGTTAAGCTCTGGCTCTTTGGTCCTGCTTCTCGGCTGTCATTCGCGTGACGTAGACATGGCCTCTGTGTTGTTGGTCCTGTCCCTTTCAGTCCTGTTGCTGCCTGTCTTCCTCGTTCCTCATCTTCCTTCTACGCTGGTGTTCCTCGCTACTGGTGCTGATGCTGTTTTTCTAGTCCGTATGGTTTGTTCTCCTGTATCCACTTCAGGTCGATTGACCTGTGGGAGTAATATGCGAGGGGTAGTTGGATTGTTTTGCATGTCGGTTCCTCATCAGGGCTTGACATCTGCGAGAAGCCCTGTACGAGTTAGTTTACACTTGTTTGTGTTTGTGCTAAGTGTCAAGGGATGTAATAGTTCTGATATTACCTCACCCCTCTCGTTACACCTTGTTGTGTGGTTTAGTATGTGGTTCTTGGCTCTCCTACTGCTGCCGTTCGGTTACCTTGCAATGTTTCCGGGGCTTAGCGTCTCTGCGGCCTGGTCATCGACCAGGCCTCCTCGTTGCTGGACTGGTCGCCCAGGATGTTTGACGCGGCTGCGTGCAACCTGACGTATTACTTACAGCCTGGTTGATCAGGTATCCTTTGGAGGTGCTACTCCAGTTCTCTCTTGGTCACTCTGAGGGGTTGGCCTGTTTTACCTCTTATGTGTCTTGGAGGCGTGTTGAACAGTCTCGGGCCTCTGATGCTGCTAGGGCTATCACTGAGTAGAAATGCTCGGTTGGACTTTGTACATGTTCAGTTCCCTGCTTTTACACCGCCCCTATGTTTGGTTCTTTCCCGGCTTGCCAGGTTTGGGTTCCTGGTTTCCTGGCTTACCCTGCCAGTTGGCAGTTTTTGGACCTTGCATGTCACTTCTCACGAGTCTCACATCGAGACCACAGTGTCTCTGATCTCCTGGCGAGCTCGCTGGCATTGGAAAGTTTTCTGTTTGGCAGACGTTCCTTTTCATTCTTTGCTGACTTGGGTTCCGGCTCTGCTTGCTCGGTGGTCGCACCCGAGGTTTTCCCGCGGCTCCGCCTCTTCCTATGCTCGATCAGTCCATGGCGGGGCTGGTTCGGTTCTGCCTCGAGTATCTCACCATCTGTTGGTGGTCAGGTGGCTTCGTTGATGGTGTCCCACCTGCGTGCTTCGTCTTGGCGGCGGTGTGGGGTTTTCTTTGGCGGTCCTTCCTTTTTCTTTCTGTCCCTTTGTCAGTTTGCTATGTTTTCTTGGCATGGTCTGGTCCTTCTCTTGTGGAGGTTTGGGGCTGTCATCTTGCCACATACTGTCACCTAGTCTCGTGTGGCGCTGGCAGAGCCGCTCCGGGTTGCTTTGGTTTTGAAAGTTGCCTCGGCACTGCTTCGCAAGCCATCTCTGGCATGGTTCACCTCCGGCCTGCTCTTGCACCGCTTGAGCCATCCTAATTCTTGGATTGCGTGCTCTTTCCTCTTCTCAGTTTGTGATGGCCCCCTTTGGTTCCGAATTGTTTTCCGAGGCTCTTTTTCTTGTTGGAGTTGGTCTCTGGGGGTCGGGTTGGAGTGCTTCATGCCCTCCTCCGGCGCCTGGGTTTCGGTTCTTTTGGTTCTCCTGATAGGTTTGTTCGCGTGTAGCCGTCTCCTTCTTTTCTGGCGAAGATTGGCACTGCTGCTTTCTGGAGGGGTCCTTGGGTTGTTCGATGCTTGATGGGTCTGGCCGGGGGTGCATCGTGTTTTGTGTTCGGTTGCGGCATTGCGCCATGCTTGGCATGCCATGACTGGGGTCCTGCTTTGGGTTGTTCAGAGTTCCCCCTCTTCCCTGTTCCAGGGTGTGGTTCTCTCAGGTCGTCCTCAGGATGGTTCAGTCCTGCCAGCGTGCTGTCTGTCCCCGTGCCCACGTCGTTCGCTGGTTGGCTTTGCGTTCCTTCGTTGATGTTCCTGGGCCTTGTCGGGCCTGTGTGGCCTTGGGTTGGCAGTTGCAGTTTTTGTCTCTGCTTCGCATTAGGGGTGTACATCTTCCGCCTCCCGGATTAGGTCCCTCTTGTTTTCATCTTTGGGTAGGTAGCTCCAGGGAGCCGACGGGACTTTCCCCAGAAAACCAGTGTTGAATGTAATGAAATGCCATATTTTGGGTGAGACCCAGCATCCCTCCCTCCCTCCAGTTGGCGTTTTTTGGTGTCTTTTGACATCCAGCCTCGGAACTGAAGGGTGGATAGCCGGCGCGAGGGTCTGGGGCTCCCCCCCTCCCCTCCCGGTAGAGGAGGGGGGGGAGCTGTGCAAACAGCGGCGCGGTGACGTGTGACGTCATGCTCATTTGCTTGTTTCTTTTTGGGGAGTTCTATCCACTTGTTCGGCTTTTGGTAGCAATTTTCACCAGAATAGGGGTTTGTTTTGGGACGCTTACCTTTCTGGGTGCCTGACCCGGTCGATGGCAGACATAGAATGCTTCCAACCACACGGGGGTTTCTATAGGCCATTGCTCCCCATGCCTCTCTGAGGGGGCCAGGTTCTGGCTCGTGGTCCCCGGTAGGCCCACAGAACTCCATACACATGACTGATGCCAAAGTCTGACATTAGCATATCAGCCTGGATAAGCTCCGGGGAGCCTCCAGGTCTCACCCAGAAAATGGCGTTTCATTACATTCAATGCTGGTTTTTTAAAGCACAATCAGAGAACACTGTACAGTATTAACATCAGAGGTCCACGGTTGTTCTGTATCCTCCCAGTGAGTATAAGACATATTGCCGGAACAACCGTGGACATCTTCAAGAGAAAACTAGATAGTTTTCTTCAAGGAGTGCCGGACCAACTGGACCGTGGTGGATATGTGGGCCTGCAGGCTGCTCCAAGCAACAGCCTGGTGGACAAAGCTCTCACAAGTCAAACCTGGCCTCGGGCCAGGCGTAGGAGATTAGAAGAACTCCTAAAATCCCATCTAGCAGAAGTGGCTGGGTTGCTGGCGCAATGGGTTCAGGGCTCTCCCCTCCCCCTCTGGGGGTGGGGGAAGCTGAATCATTATCAAACTAAAGTGAATATAAGAGTTATAAATAATCATACTCTGCCTAAGCAAAACAGAAACAAGTAACACTTAGTGGACCAGCCAGTGGCTTTGGGCCCATGCAGGAATATCCCTAGGGGAAAAACAAATAACATCCACCATATTCCCATGTGACCCCATTACAATCCACCATATTCCCACATGACCCCATCACCATCCACCATATTCCCACATGACCCCATCACCATCCACCATATTCCCACATGACCCCATCACCATCCACCATATTCCCACATGACCCCATCACCATCCACCATATTCCCACATTACCTCATCACCATCCACCATATTCCAATGTGACCATCACCATCTTCCATTTTCCCACATGACCTTCCTTCCCCATCACCATCCACTTTGTGTTCACCATGTGTTGTTCTGGGGACACTGGTCTTTGGGGGACCAGTCCCTAATCAGGCCTCCTGGTTGATGGTGTGGTCAACAAGGTTGTTAGATGATACAGCTGCCTGCAGTGTGATGGATGAGTCACTGCTCTATCACCTCCCACTATAAACTCCACTGTTCATATGCTCATACTCATACAGGTTCATCAGAACCATCATAATCTGTGTCAATTATTTGATGATTGCTTTTCATATTTGTTATTGTTACTCATTAATATTTTTGGAAATTCCTTTTTAGTGTGAGTCCTCCAGTATCTGGGGGAGTGATACGTCGAGGATCTGCGGGCAGAGATGGCACCTTTCGATATCCAGCTAAGAAGTGAAAATTAGGCATCCAATTTAGCTAGTTTCTGTGTAATGACAGTTGACAGTGCTCTACATAATAGTCATTTGCTGCCTTGTGTTTGGCACTAACACATCCAGAAATTGGACTGAAGAAGCATGAGTTATGTGTGCATTAAGGCAGAACAGACACATTGAAGACTTGCTAAGGATGTGTTGCTGTCAGCAATGAAAACATTTTACTGGCCAGCAAAGCTCAAGATACTTTAATAGTGCATTGATAAAAGAATATGAACTTTTCTAGAATGAAAGCCATGGCCTTAATTATAGTATTTATGAAAATGTGCAATGAGAAACTTTATAAGAAAATTTCATGGAAAGTAAATGCATTAAATGCATCAATTAGTTTATCAGTGATAATTTTATAATAGTTTATGAGGTAACTACAGTACTTGGTGGACGCTGTTTGCAGGATCAACAGTTGTGGTGTCCAAGAATTGTTTTCTATAGTTTGTGAAATCTGTATATTCACCAGTTAATATGGTGTTCTCGATGACTGCTGAGATATTCTTCAGTGGTGTACTTCATCAATACCTTTGATCTCATTGCCTGCAGGTTTTCACAGAGGCATGTCCTATGGCAAAAACTGTAAATGATGATTTAAGTTAATATAGTCAATCTCCATTACTATAACTTGCAGTTACCTAACATTCTGTCTATTAAAAGCAGAACTTTTTTAATATATTTACCAAGCAGTTGAAAATTCTAACTCAAATTTAATAAAAAAAAAAAAGAGTGGCAGAAAATATAATAGTTATTGCTATATCCAGTTATATGTGCTAACGGTAGCCAGTATGGACAATGTTATATTTCCACGTCCTTCTTGTGATTAGGATCGAAAGTCAAAATCTTCGTATTTGTTTCGTAGTTTGTCATTACTATTTTAATATATACAATTGCTGATTTTGGTTATACAGGTGCTTCAACAATGTAGTAATTAAAAAGCAAAGCTTATATTGGTACCCTCTATGTTCAAAATAATTACCCTGGTGTTTTATGTGAATTTTGGCATCTGCTTGCATACAAATTTACAAAGTGCATGCAACATATTTTTGATTATCAGTACTGTATTGACATGGTACTGAAAACATATTCTGAGTAATGGCAACCTGACTGCAAATTATTTCAGATATTGTGAGTGAAGTTTACTGGCTACAGATTTTGGCACGTTTTCCCTGATTTGGCCACTCTTGTGAGGTTTTGGCCACTCTTGTGAGGTTTTGGCCACTCTTGTGAGGTTTTGGCCACTCTTGTGAGGTTTTGGCCACTCTTGTGAGGTTTTGGCCACTCTTGTGAGGTTTTGGCCACTCTTGTGAGGATTTGGCCACTCTTGTGAGGATTTGGCCACTCTTGTGAGGTTTTGGCCAGTGATCTTGCATACATCCTATAAGGCATAAGGAGTTTGTTACCAATTAGTTTCAAGAGGAAATAGTTATATTCATATGTATGCATTTAAATGATCCTGGCCTTTCCATTGGCCCATGACTCCTGGAAGAGAAAGCAAGTGTCTTAGTTAGATCTTCCGGGTGCTAAGATTTTTTTAGAACCCAGTTCCTTTGAAATGGGAATAATTATTAATAAAGAATAAACATCTTGCATTCCTTCACAAATGTTATTAGAGCATATTGGCAGCATGTTGTTTAAACCAGGACAAGTGTGTTGTGAATGTCACATGTGCATTTCTATGTTTTAAAATATTTGTTACATTTAGAACCACATCACTCTTTCAGTTCTATATTGTTTTGTATTATTTCCATTGTCTCCTTGAATCATACTATAATGTAAACTGGTACAGTTTTATGAGGTTTTGATAGAATGGATAGCAATTAGTGAAATTCAGTACAGTGCTAGTAAGCAAAGCATTTTATTTATAAGTCAATTGCTGTCTAGAACTCGACTGTAATGTGCAACGTCATCAAGCGTCGTGTTTTGGAATTTGGCTATATTACATCTGACCATGGGTGATTATTTTGTATTTATATATGTATATTTGTTATTAGGTAATTCATGATTTTAGGTTCATTCAGTGTGATGGACTAGGCGTCTAGTTGAATCTGGAAACAATGAGATGAACAGTTGTAAACACAGATGATTTTTTATTATTCCCAATAAATAGTAAATGCCATGTACAAATGTACTCATACAGCCATATTCCAAAATGTGGCTATCATTGTATTTACCATCATTCATATACAGATGAATGCATAGCAGTATTGTGTTAATGTCTGAAGGATGTTTTCAAAAGAGGAAGTGTGTGTGTGTTTCTTATGCTTTAATGTGTGAGGGGGGGGCCATGCAACAGGGGGGGGTACTGATCTTTGAAGGGGGCATGCAAGGGGGAAGGGGTACTGATGTTTGGGGGGGGGGCATGCAAAGGGGGGGGATACTGATGTTTGGGGGGGGGGATACTGATGTTTGAGGGGGGTAGCATGCAAGATACTGACGTACTCACCTAGTTGTGCTTGCGGGGGTTGAGCTCTGGCTCTTTGGTCCTGCCTCTCAACCGTCTATCAACTGGTGTACAGGTTCCTGAGCCTATTGGGCTCTATCATATCTACACTTGAAACTGTGTATGGAGTCAGCCTCCACCACATCACTTCCTAATGCATTCCACTTGTCAACTACTCTGGCACTAAAAAAGTTCCTTCTAATATCCCTGTGGCTCATTTGGGCACTCAATTTCCACCTGTATTCATCTAGTTGTATTCACCTAGTTGTGCTTGCGGGTGTTGAGCTTTGCTCTTTCGGTCTGCCTCTCAACTCTCAATCAGCTGTTACTAACTACTAACAATTTTTTTTTTCCACACACACCAGGAAGCAGCTGTAACAGCTGGCTAACTCCCAGGTACCTATTTACTGTTAAATACTGTTAACAGAGGCATCAGGGTGAAAGAAACTTTGCCCATTTGTTTCTGCCTGGTCCAGGAATCGAACCCGGGCCACAGAATTACGAGACCTGCACGCTGTCCACTCAGCTACCAGACCCTGTCAATAGGGGACCTGTGTCCCCTAGTGCGTGTGTCCCTTGTGTTAAATAGCCTGTCTTTTATCTACCTTATCAATTCTTTTGAGAATCTTGTATGTGGTGATCATGTCTCCCCTAACTCTTCTGTCTTCCAGCAATGTGAGGTTTAATTCCCGAAGTCTCTCCTCGTAGCTCATACCTCTCAGTTTGGGTACTAGTCTTATGGCAAACCTTTGAACCTTTTCCAGTTTAGTTTAGTTTAGTCCAGCTTGACTAGATATGGACTCCATGCTGGAGCTGCATACTCCAGGATTGATCTGACATATGTGGTATAAAAGTTTTGAATGATTTCTTACACAAGTTTCAAAAGGCCGTTATGTTGGCCAACCTGGCATTAACCCTTAAACTGCGCAAAACCTCATATGATGTGTGACATTGAACTCAGTTTTTAAAATTTTCTGAAACTCTTTCAAATGTTTTGTGAATAATCTACTAGGCAAATGCTCCAACTTTGTCTAAATGATACCAGTGTAACTTGAAAAACAAGAAAATAAAAAATAATTATAAAATTGAATATTGAAAACTTCAGATTTTGAAATCAGCTGCAAAAATATAAAAATATCACCAACTGTTCATTTGGTGTTATTATGCTCTCAGAATAGCATATGATCTTCATTTTCATATATTTAGAATATAGGTTTTCAGTATAGTTTACTGTAAAAAAAAATTGTCAATATGGCATTTGAAATATGCGCAAATTTAGACAACAAAAATTTATAACTCCAAACGTTTAGAGTTTATGAAAAATCAATTCTATAGGGATTGTAGAACAGACAGCTGTGCACACTATATGTAAAAATGGTGAGAATCGGTCAGAAACTAGATTTTTGGATACTGAAGTAAGTTGAAATTCTAGTTATAGATATAATTGAAGTTGAAGTTATCGACAATGAATAAGGCAGTTCTAATTCATGAATTTACTTGTATGTTGTAATAAACATTGTTTGGCATTCGTACTCAAGTATGTGAAAGTTGTAGGTCAATGTGTGTAGAAATGAAGTCAAGAAAAAAGAACTCCCCCAAAAAACAAAATATAGGGATAATTATAATGATTTAGGGAATATATTTAGGGTATACTTTATATAAGTAAAAAAGCCCTAATCTGGTCCCTAATCATCAAAACAACCTAAAGAAACAAGGAAAATAGAGTTTGAAATCTGTGAAAAAATCAGCCAAAAAAAATTCAAAGTCCCAAGTTCTGAGAGTTGTAACTGATTTATTTGTTGACCAATTTAATTCTGGCTTCACATAGTTAGGGACGAGTATGCATTCTCCAGGATGTAAAGGTTAAAACAAATTCAAATAATAAACAAAGGAGGAAAAAAATCCTAAAAACCTAAAAAAAAAAAACTTAAAAAAATATTTTTTGGACATTGTTGAAAGTAACTGATAATAACATTGGGCAATGTATTTATATGATATATAACAAAATAGAGCATAATAACATAATTACTCATTATTATTTGTGTTATGTATTACTCACCAATGCTATAAAGGCACCAGCTGTATATCCACTTTGTGGACACTTCTTACTACTATTCTTCTTTGTGTGTCGGACAGGTGCTTGCATCTCTTTATTATTGCATTATCCATCAGTTCCAGTTAATAGGAGCTGTTCTCTTTATCAACAAAACGTTCTTTTTTTTTAATATATTCGTCTAAAATCAATTTCTGAAAATATTTTGATGAAAGTTTCACGAAGCTGAAGCCAATAAGTTGGAGATTTGTTTAACATTTTAAAGTAATTTTTACATAATTGGAATATTTTTCAAATTATACACCCTTCAGTGTCACACATCATATGACTTTTGCGCAGTTTAAGGGTTATGCAGTTTTATAGTGTTATGTGTAGGGAAAGGAGGCTGTTAAAGCAATACTGTATTTTTCATATAATTTATTTTCTATCAAGTATTTTATTCCTTTTGTCGGTAAATAATAGTCATTGTTGTATTTCAGGATTCAAATTTTGAAAGCCTTTTAGGCAGTGTTGATATTGCTTACTGCACACTTTTTATTTTGATCACATTTCTAAAGAAAAAAAATACTGAATAATTTTATTTTTATAATTGTTTTACCTGGATAAAACGAGCCCATACAGATTTGTTGTGAACACTACACGCATTCATATACTGTACAGGTATTTTGTTTTGATCATCACAAACAATCTGGTTTATCCTTACATATGTTGCATTACTGTACATTTCTCACTCGGCTCATTTCACACTCATTTAATGTTAAATCACAGCAGCGAAAGTGTACGACAATTCGTCGTCTCCCAGTTTCTATTTCTATATTCACTATCTGCAAAGTCTGCACCTTTATATGTTTATTAATTTGTTATTCTTTTCCTTATGAATCATTTTCTCCTTGAATATAACAATTTATATATATATATTTTTTTTTTGGTGTGGAAAAGGGGGAGGGGGGGGGGGTGGAAGGGATCTTCAAGTGTGAGTGTTGTTTAAGTGTTTGACTTCCAGCCTTCATAGCCAAGATGTTCACCCTCCAGGCGTGTCCTGGAAGATGATGTTGGCAATGTTTCATGCTGGAATATTGAACTCTCCTTATCAAAGATACATTAATTTTTTTGTTTTAAGTATTTAATGCTTTTCTGGTATAAATCCAAACTGAATATTTTATATAAATTGTATAATACTTAATTTAGATTTCTAATATAAATTAAGCTTTTTTTAGTACAGAAATGGAATTTACCATTTTGTCATCTCCAAAACCCATTTACAGTGATGTTTATGTATCTTAAAATTCAATAAATTTTTGTACAATAATGATGGTGTATGTATGACAATTCAAACTTTAACTTGATTTCAGGGGTAATATATTTAGTTTTTGTAGAGAAGAAATAAATACTTTCTTAATGTACACCGTTTTTGAAACAATGTTTGTTGTAAAAGTCATAATGAGGATAAACTGCTCTCCAAATTCAGAATATGAAATGTAATATGAATGTAATAAAATAATTATGTATCTAGTATTTCCAAACTTTCTTCCTTTTGATTTTTTGTGTTCAGAAACTGTTCATTTGAGAGAGTTAAGCAAGTCTCAGCTGTGTCTGGGTACAAGATGAACAGCACAGTGAGTTTTCTTACTATTGGGGATGTTATTTGTGCTGGTATAGTATCGTGTTCACTCACAGGATGAGTGGCGCTGCCCAATACTGTCACTATGGCGGTGTGTTCACTCACAGGATGAGTGGCGCTGCCCAATACTGTCACTATGGCGGTGTGTCCACTCACAGGATGAGTGGCGCTGCCCAATACTGTCACTATGGCGGTGTGTCCACTCACAGGATGAGTGGCGCTGCCCAATACTGTCACTATGGTGGTGTGTCCACTCACAGGATGAGTGGCGCTGCCCAATACTGTCACTATGGTGGTGTGTCCACTCACAGGATGAGTGGCGCTGCCCAATACTGTCACTATGGCGGTGTGTCCACTTACAGGATGAGTGGCGCTGCCCAATACTGTCACTATGGCGGTGTGTCCACTCACAGGATGAGTGGCGCTGCCCAATACTGTCACTATGGCGGTGTGTCCACTCACAGGATGAGTGGCGCTGCCCAATACTGTCACTATGGCGGTGTGTCCACTCACAGGATGAGTGGCGCTGCCCAATACTGTCACTATGGCGGTGTGTCCACTCACAGGATGAGTGGCGCTGTCCAATACTGTCACTATGGTGGTGTGTCCACTCACAGGATAAGTGGCGCTGTCCAATACTGTCACTATAGTGGTGTGTCCACTCACAGGATGAGTGGCGCTGCCCAATACTGTCACTATGGTGGTGTGTCCACTCACAGGATGAGTGGCGCTGCCCAATACTGTCACTATGGTGGTGTGTCCACTCACAGGATGAGTGGCGCTGCCCAATACTGTCACTATGGTGGTGTGTCCACTCACAGGATAAGTGGCGCTGCCCAATACTGTCACTATGGTGGTGTGTCCACTCACAGGATAAGTGGCGCTGTCCAATACTGTCACTATGGTGGTGTGTCCACTCACAGGATGAGCTGCGCTGCCCAATACTGTCACTATGGTGGTGTGTCCACTCACAGGATGAGTGGCGCTGCCCAATACTGTCACTATGGTGGTGTGTCCACTCACAGGATGAGTGGCGCTGCCCAATACTGTCACTATGGCGGTGTGTCCACTCACAGGATGAGTGACGCTGCCCAATACTGTCACTATGGCGGTGTGTCCACTCACAGGATGAGTGGCACTGCCCAATACTGTCACTATGGTGGTGTGTCC